AGTTCCCCATGTGTAAGATTAAGATTCATTGGCTTAGTATTTCTTAAGCTCCAAACACTCAAATACAATTTTCTAAATTTTTGCTATGCCTCTATGCTGCCTGGCCTGCTGTTTACTTCACATCTTTCTTTAATCCAACTTACTTTTCTTACCAAAATTTATTTCTAAAAGAAACTTTATACCTCTCTAGAGAAGAAAAAAATAGTACCACTTGCCATAAATAAAAGATAATCATAGGAAAAAATCTGATAAAATATCAGCAGCATGTTCTAGCTCTACAATTTCAACACTTAAAAGCCTGAAGGCTTCTCTCTGTTTGTTAAAATAAAGCTTAGAAAATGTTAGTAAGAAATTCAAGGCACAGTAGCACCAAACTGGGACCTTTCCCGTCATGTAATCAGTAGGACTGAAATAGAATTGGCAAGAGAGTAAAAATAACATTAGGTGAATCAGCATTATTAAAAGTCTTGCATATATGAGGGTACTTCAAACAATTCATGGAAAATTTTGTATTATTTTTTAATTTTACTTTTCCATGAACTTTTGGTAGTACCCTTGTATGCCAGCTAAAGCTATTCTACCTACTACTTAAGCACATGCACTTCTCTTTGAGAAATACTGGACTGGGGATTAAAAACTACCAACAGATATTATTGTTGCTGATCATGTTTTCAAAGATCAGAAGGTAGATAATATAAATTATTGGTGGAGATGTAGAAAAACAGGCATTCTCATGTACTACTGGTAGCTATGAGAATCAGACATCTTTTGGGAGTGGAAATTTGGCTCTTTTTAATTTTGAATGAGTATATAGATTTACACTTTTATGTGGTAAATCTACTTCTAAAACTGGCTCCCAGAGATGTGCTTTCAAATGTGCTTAAAGACATGCACAGGAACTATTTATGTGGCATTGTAGATAGGATCAAGTGACTGGGGGAAAAATCCTAAATATTCATCAAAGTGAGACTGGAAAATAAAATTTGATACAATAACTCAATACAGCCATTTAAAAGAGCAACATATGGGCCGGCCCGTGGCTCACTCGGTAGAGTGTGGTGCTGATAAAAGAGCAACGTACTTAAATTCATACTAATATGAAATAATTTCCAATGTATATTGTCAAGTCGTGCAAGGTGCAGAGCAATGTGTATAGTGTGTGAAATTTGTGCTTAAATGAGGGAGTGATTACACACACACATATGCATACACATATAAAATTTTATACGTAATGCACTGTGTATATATTACATAGAATCTTCCATCATCTTCACAAAACACATTCACCCATAATTTTGATTAAGCAGAGAATTTAGAGAAGATGCACAAGAAATTATTAAGAGCAATTACATCTGCAAAGCAGAATAGAAACAGAAGGGAAAAGTATCTTTTCCTCTATAAAGTTTAGTACCATTTGAATTTTTGCCATGTTTACATATGTAATTTAAAATATTTTATTTATTTATTTATTCATTTTTTAATTTTAACTTCTCAGTATACATTGTAGTTGATTTTCATGACCCTTTATTTTTAGTTTTTTTTTTTAATTTTTTATTTTGTCAATATACAATGTATATGATTATTATGGCCCACCANATTTTAACTTCTCAGTATACATTGTAGTTGATTTTCATGACCCTTTACCCATTCCTCTTTTCCCCTCCCTCTTTCCCCTCCCCCCCCACATCATATCTGTTCACTTTTCTTAACAAGTTCAAGGAATTGTTGTGACTGTGT